TTTTTTTTTTTTTTGGTTGTAGTTGTCATTGTTGCGTCACAGCTCACAGCAACCTCCACCTCCTGGGCTTAGGTGATTCTCTTGCCTCAGCCTCCGGAGTAGCTGGGACTACAGGCGCCCGCCACAACACCCGGCTACTTTCACCAGATTTTTAAAAACACATCCGTTCTTGGAACTTATGCTTTTAAAACGTTGTTAGCGATAGTAAAATGTTTTTCCCTGGGCTTGTTGATCATTTGCAGTTCTTCACATTTCTACTATCTCTACTTTTTCTCATTGAGTTCTTTGTTTCTTGTCTCCCTACTGGCATTCATCCTTTAATCACTGATTAGAAAAAAATTGTTAAATATTAAGGACATTAACTGGTTTTCATGTTTCAAATACCTTTTCAAAGTTTTGAATCCTTCTTTTCAAAATTCTGCTGATAAAATTTTTGATAGAGCATTTGTGTACAATAGTCAGATTTGCCATTTGTTATTCTTATGGTTCTTGTCTTGATTATCATGCTTAAAACACCCCTCCTGACCCCAAGATAGCATAAATATTATGTATTATACATATTATATATAATATATTATATTCTCCAACATCCACTTTTCATTAGTGGGGCTAACCTGCATAGTTACATGGGACACTGCTATACGCCTGAGGTTCCTACCTTAGTGAGCAATCCCTTCACGGTTGGTTTACCCTCAGGCTGCAGAAAAAGTGGGTTGGCAGCTTGTACTCGAAGAACATTTTGTAACACTTTAATCCATTCTTCCAATATATTGGGAGAATCTGCAGTCAGATAGTATGTGTGTTTTTCAGTGGTCAACTAAAATGGGATGAGAAAGGCATAGGAAAAGAAATTGTAAAGATTGAAGATTATTAGCATTTCTTCGTCCGTTCTTCAAACATCATTACCTAACATGGCCACAAACATGCTAAACCTCAACTCCTAAGTTCTAAATAAATGACTCCATATAATTTAGTATATTTTAACCATGATATGAAAATTACAATAACTAAGTTTTTGTTGAGATAATTTTTTAGCTTCAGTTTAGTTTAAAACATTTCATAGTATTAAACTTGGAAGTCACGACATGATATACTGTTTACTTGTCATATTTTCCCTTTTCTCTCTTAAATATGCTACAGGCTTTTGGCTATTGAAAAGAGTAGCAGAATAATTGTAGACTATAATAAAATAACACATTTTTTTTGAGACAGAGTTTTGCTTTGTTGCCTGAGTAGAGTGCCGTCGCATCAAAGCTCATAGCAACCTCAAACTCCTGGGCTCAAGGAATTCACTTGCCTCAGTCTCCCAAGCAGCTGGGACTACAGGTTCCTGCCATAACTTCTGGCTATTTTTTAGAGACAGGGTCTCGTTCTTGCTCACGCTGGTCTTAAACTCCTGAGCTCAAGTGATCCACCCGCCTCGGCTTCCTAGAGTGCTAGGATTACTGACATGAGTCACCACGCTTGGCCTAAAATAACTCATTTTTAGCAATTAAAGAGGAAGGCTATTTATATAAATTTAAAAAATCAACTTTAAATAAAATGCGAAGACCTTGCCTCTAAGAAAAGAAAATTCTTGGAACTGGTACGTGATCCAGTATTACAAACTCGTAATTTTCCAGTTTTAAATTAACCATATTGCAAGTTTTCTAGTGATTTCAGAAGTTTATAAATAATTCTTAACTGCTATTCCCCAAGACAAAGCTCTCCCTGATTCTCCTTTATTAACTTTTGAGTTTTCAGGTATAATCCACTGGAAACAGGAATAACGTACCTTTCTATCAAATGTTGTCGTCCATCCTCCAAAGAAGCAATACGAGAAAATAATGGTTATTGAAAACACCTCAGAAATAAAGTATCTGTCCCAGACTCTCTTAACAGCTTATGTTTTAAATTTAACAGGCTCTGTGTGGGTAAATGGCAGGAGGCCCATTGGTGTGACCTGTTAGGACAGCCCTTCTGCTCGCCAGTACCTTTCCTATCTTTCCCACTTAGGTGCTATGGCATCTGAAGTTCACATAGAAACTGCCATTTTCTGATTCTGTGTTAAAATACAAACACTTCTGAATTTAATAGTACATTACACAATTATCATCTCATTGGGAATTCATTTATCAGATAACCCTTCTCTAAAATGCCTTGACAGGCTTGGCACCTGTGTAGCACAGTGGTATGGCACCAGTCACACATTGACCGAGGCTGGCGGATTCGAGCCTGGCCCGGGTCAGCTAAACAACAGTGACAACGGCAACAAAAAAAGTAGCCAGGCTCTGTGGCGGGTGCCTGTAGTCCCAGCTGACTGGGAGGCTGAGGCAAAAGAATCGCTTAAGCCCAGGAGTTTGAGGTTGCTGTGAGCTGTGACTTCACAGCACTCTACCAAGGGTGACATAGTGAAACTCTGTCTAAACAACAACAACAAAAAAAATGGCTTGACAGTTTGAGAGCTGAAAATACTTGGGAGATTAACTATGGGGAAAGAAGAATGTAAGGGAAAAGAGGTAAAAAACACAGTTTATATTACAGATTAACTAAAAAGTCTTGAGGGTTTTACATACTTCATAAGCATCAAACTGACCCCAAAGTGAATAAAGGAGCATTGAATTATCTAATCTTCTTTCCGTTACCTTGGATAATCAAGAATTGAGTCTTGCACAATACAAAAAAAAAAAAAAAAATCTTAAAAAAGTTAAGTACCTGAACTGTTTGTTTGTTATCTCCTCTCAAAATACTGCAGGACGTACTGAGTTCAATGTGGCCCTGGGGTTTTCTAATTACATCACTCTGTATGAAGGGAAGAAAACCAAATGTAAAGTGATTAATAGTAATAAAAATAAATGCTTTGTGTAAAATTATTAATTGTATTACATGGAAGAAAATTATTCAGGAGTTTGATTCATAGCGTGAGAAATTGAGGCTCATAGTGTAAACAGCACTTTCTACTCACCGGAGATTTGTAGTAGAGCAATTCACCGCCTTTAAGAACAAACCACCTCCGCTTCCACGTCTTGACTTTACCACTCATTTTTAATAAATAGCCAGATTTTTCCAGTAGTTCCTAATTTTAAAAAGATTTTAAAACACTTTTCAGTTTCCTTTTGGAAGCTCAAACTAACGGATTCATTAATTTGTTTAAAATCTGATTCAGTGTTTACATTTTTCCCATTATCACTAGAAGATGAAAGGGTTTTAGGGAGTTTCTGCTCTGGCTGTGAGAACTCCGAGTCTGTGGAGTAAGCATCAGGGGGAATAGCGTAATCACTCTCAGAAGCCACAGAGGACAGAGACACACCTAAAAGAACAAAGAAATAAATCAAGTCAATGTTTAACACTGGGTGGTCCAAACACCAGATCTGAACTCTCCTATGGAATGCAACCATTCCTGCACCACAAGCCTCCCAAGACTAGATTTATTCTTTTATTTTTTTATTTTATTTTATTTTTTTGAGACAGAGCCTCAAGCTATCCCCCTGGGTAGAGTGCCATGGCATCACGCTCACAGCAACCTCCAACTCCTGGGCTCAAGCGAGTCTCCTGCCTCCGCCTCCCAAGTAGCTGGGACTACAGGTGCCCGCCACAACGCCCGGCCATTTTTTGGTTGCAGCCATCATTGTTTGGCGGGCCGGGCTGGGGATTTGAACCCGCCACCTTAGGTGCATGTGGCTAGCGCCTTAGCCACTTGAGCCACAGGCACTGAGCCACTAGATTTATTCTTATTCCTTTGGCCAAGAAGAACTTTTAAATCAGAAGACAGAACTAAGGGGTAGTGACTGTCATGTAAATCTCCAAGGAGGTCAAAGGAACATGAATAATATTTTGGTATGATTACAACCACAGCTATCTCTACACATATAAAATACATGCAACAGTCTACTACTGGATATTTCATTAAGAATTAAAAATATATGTATGAACATATTGGCGTGTAGGAAAATACACGTTAAACTTTAATTTATCAAGAGTTTCACAAATCATATTTTAAACTATCTGGAAACACCTTTGAAATAACTCCACATTTAAAAAGAACAGAATTTCCGTAGTATTTTTCATGTAATTCTAATAAACTACTAAATACTTTACAGATTTTAAAAGTCTTCCATAAATGAGAAGCAATGAGATCTAAAGATACTAACAGACTCTTTCATTTGCCCAGCAGCTATACAGTAAAATTCAATAGGACATTTTCATAATAATAGAAAACTATTTTTGAGTGACAAGCCACATTTGTAGAGTCACTACAATTGGTAATGCTAAATATATTAAATAAAATAAGGACTTAGGTCATTAATCATTATAAAAGCCAGCAATTTTTAGTAGAGACCGGGGCCTCACTCTTGCTCAGGCTGGTCTCAAACTCCTGAGTTCAGACAATCCACCCACCTGAGCCTCCTAGAGTGCTGGGATTATAGGCATGGGCCACTGTGCCAGGCCAATATCCAGCAATTTTTAAAGTGTTTACTGGCATTTAAGGGACTTATTAAGGCAATGTCATTCTTGTGACACTATTCTTCATTTGACTGAGATAAATAACAGTTATGATAATACCTTTATTTTTTCATAGAATAATAAAAATTCAGACCTATAAGGGACCTCAGAGATTGTCCTGGCTAACGCCCTAATTCTCTAAGGAGACTAACGTTCAGAGATTAAAGAATTTGTCCACGTCAAATAGCGAGGCAGGGATAATAACAGAGTGTGTAAATTTTAGGCTCCCAGCCCCAGGCCCAGTGTGCCAGGCACTGTCCTAGCTGCAGGGGTAGAGCAGACAAAAAAGCCAGAAATTTTTGGCCTTCATGGAACGTAGTTTCTACTGTAGGGAGACCAATCACAAACAGGCAGTAAGTGCTATAAAAAAATAAAACATAGAGCAGATGAAAGGGAAAAGAAAAGGCCAGCAACAGAAGGACAGAGGATGGCAATGAGAATGGTGCAGTCATGGTGGATCTAGCTGAGAAAGCAGCATTCAGCAATGTAATGAAGAAGGAGGATACCAGGTGCAGGAAATACCAGTGTGAAGGTCCTAAAGTAAAAGCATGTCTGGCATATTAAGGACAGCAGGAGGGCCAGGGAGGCCAGAGTGAGTAAGGAAGGAGAAAGGATAAGGCCAAAGATGTAAAATATCTTATAGTCATCATGAGGAACCACTACAGCCTTTTTAAAATTGTTTTTTAAATTTTGGGGGGAGGGGTGGTGGTTATATTGAGACAGTCTCAAGTTGTTGCCCTGGGTAGAGTGCTGTGGTGTCACAGCTCACAGTAACCTCAAACTCTTAGGCTTACGCAATTCTCTTGCCTCAGCCTCCCAAGCAGCTGGGACTACAGGCACCCACCACAACACTTGGCTATTTTTTTTTTTTATAGTTGTCTTTGTTGTTTTAGCTGGCCTGGGCTGGGTTCGAACCTGCCAGCCTCAGTATATGTGGCCAGTGCCCTACCCACTGAGCTACGGGTGCTGCCCCACTGCAGCCTTTTGAGCAAAAGTGTGCTATAACCCAATTCCGGCTGTAGTGGGAGGACAAGGTAAGAGAAAGACCAGCAGAAGCCCAAAACGTTAGCCGATGAAAGCTGAGCAGCTCCAGTTGAAGCTGTATCCAGAGGTTCCATGGAACACTGGAAACCAACAGAAATGCGATGTTGAATTAAAGGCTTTTATAAAATACAGATGTCATTTACTGGCATTGGATCTCTTTGTCACCTCTACTTGTGCACAAAATTTCCTCAAAGTCCACTAAAAATAATAGACATGTCCAAAGTAAAGTTTTAGTTGGTTTCCACTTTAATATTAGATAACCAACAAATTTTTATGTAAATTTTCTACAACTTAGCAGAATAACAAATTGACTAAAATAAGACTATTCCACAAATTATCCAAATGCCACACTATAATACAGAAATCTCATTTTGGCCAATTATCTTACTTGTTTCCAACAATAAAGTGATGTCTCTCTTACAGACAAGATAAGGCTAAAAACAAACAAACAAAAAAGGACTGTGTCTGGATTTGTCTGGAATCATAAAGAATTAAGAGAATTAGAACTAGAGCATAAATGTCTCAGTCCTAAGCTAAAACTCTTTTCACTATGGTTTAAAGCAAGTTCTTTGATTTTTTTGTAAACCCTCTTATGGGTAAAGAAAATTCCCAGTACATATTTGGAATGGTGTGGAGTTGCCTTGATGCCTTCCATTCTCCCTCACCTCGTTTCAGGGCTCTGGGGCTGCCTGGCCCACTCCTACTGCGCGTGTCCGACTCGGATGTCCGGGAGCTGGATCTGGAGCTATCCTCTTCCTCTGACCCAGAGGACTCATCCAGGAAAGGGCTGTTACTTATTTGGGTTGCCTTCTAAAGAAAAGCAGAAGTATCCATCCCTAAAGTTACCTCTCTCTTTAGATACAGAATGTTTTACAGGAAGAGGTCATAGAATATGATTTTTTAATAGGAAGTCGAGAATATGTTCTGCTGTTTTCAAAGTCATGTTGTCAAAAGCCCAAATTCTAATTAGCAAGGCTTTTGTCAATTACAAAAGATTCCTGAAAACATAAGATTGTCAATACCTGATGATTTTCATTTAGTACTTCAAGCAAGGAAGGAGTATCCCGCAAGGAAAGAGTACCCTGGCACTAATACAAAGATCGTCCTAAATTAGGAGTTTTCTTTACACCGTTAATGCTATGCCTCCTTTAAACAATGAACAGCCATGAGTAGCAGGGGAATCACGTGGGATACTACAAAGTAGACTCAGACCTCTGAGAATAAATACCATCTACAGACCTTTCCACTTCTTTTTTTTTAAATTTATATATATATAAAACATGAGTATCTAAAACTCTCTATAAAGGGAGAGTCTGTGTAAAATGTTAAGGATGAAATCCAGAGCTTAAATAAACAATTTTCTTGATCTATCCTAAGAGAACCATATGCTTAACATAATGAGTTACCCCCTTCAAGGTTGTATACACTGGAGTTGTCATATTCTTGTATATCAGAGATGTATAAAGTCCTGACGTAGCATAGGAAAGCATTGCAACAGAATCTGAAACAGAAAACAACATTAAAAAACCCGTCTAACTAGCATATTAGTCTATTTCTTACAAATACGAATTAATATAATTTTAAGTCAAAGAAATACTGAATAAACACATATGACTCCTAATAGTATCATCTACTTTATGAATTAGGGCATTTATGGCTTTATTTATACACTTTGGTCCATGGGTCCTTATTTCCTCTAGTGTTCTAGTTCCCCAAGTAGACAGTAGGCTCTTTCAGAGCAAGAACCACAGCTTTTGTTTTTTTGGCATATCCATACGCACTTGGCTCAGGCTGGGCAGAACTAAGTATAATAAACTGCTCACTGACTAAAGATATTCTCTGACTAGTCGTAGCCCCATTATTGATGTGGTATTAAAATACTGTCATTGGTAAACTTGTGTCAGGTGAATGTGATGTTAAAAATTAGAATATAGGGGTGGTGCCTGTGTCTCAGTGAGTAGGGTGTCAGCCCCATATACCGAGGGTGGTGAGTTTAAACCCAGCCCCGGCCAAACTGCAACAACAAAAAGTAAGTAAATAAATAAAGATTTTTAAAAAAAGCATTTAAAAAAATTAGAATATAATTTCCTGAGTGGTAACAACAGCTGTGTATCAATGGTTACCTTTAAGATAGGACTTAGTGATGGGAGGGGGGGGAGCTGGTAAAAAGAACCACAGGAAAATTTCTCTTTTTATTCCATACAGTTCTCTGTTGTTTGGTTTTATCTTTTGTAATGGGCATGTATCATTTCTGTAAGAGTTTCCAGAAAAGAAGGAAAGAAGGAGAGGGGAAGGGAGGAAGAATAAGAAAGGAAAGGAAGAAACAGTGACTGTGTTTTAAACCCTGAGACAGAAGAACACAGAGATGAATATTTTGTGTAATTTTAAACATCTGAAAAGCCAGTTTCTCCTCTTTAGCTTCGTTCAGGTAAAAAATACATCAGAGTTAAAGGTATTTGTGTCTCTGTACTAAGATGAATATCAATTTTAAAATATAAATCAGCAACCTTAGAAATAACTTTCTGAAAGTTTTCATAATTCTATACATTCCAATGACTTTAGACATTTAGAAAACTTTTGGCTAGTGAAACAGCAACACAATCACTTACTTTTTGAAACATTTTTTGATTGTGATAAAAAACACGGAACATAAAATTTACCACCTTATCCATTTTTAACTGTACAGTTCATAAGGCATAAGTATTTTCACAGTGTTGTAAAATAGACCTTCCAGAACTTTTCCAGTTTGCAAATCTGCCCCCAGCCCTTGGCATCCACCATTCTACCTTCTGTTCCTATCAGTTTGACTACTTCTGAGACTTCCTTTAAGTGGAATCATCGAGTATTTGTGGCTTTGTGCTTGCACTATGTTTTTCTATTATGCTATCACTTAACATCCCGTCCTCAAGGTTTGTCTATGTCATAGCACGCAAAAGCACTTACTTTTATTAACATTCTCCACGTTGAAGGCCTCAGACATTCGAATGCCTGACTTGGCTACAGCATAAATTCTGCTTTCCTAATGTAAAAGAGAGATGTGAACAGGGTATTTAAAGCAAAGCAATGATTACTTTTGATACACATGTTTTTCATTTGTTCTGCATTTGATATTCACCAGATACAACTGTATTATACAACAGTCATCTGTGCCAACTATAATGTGCCATTGTGACTAATGCTGCAGAGATTCCTTCCATCCATTAGTCATTCCATTATTTATCTTTGTTCCCAAATTTGGGGTTGGTATTTTAAATTCTTTTGAAGAGGGGAAAAAATAAGAGAAAGCTTATTTATAATCACAACTACACATAAACACTACCTTCAATACTCTTACTATCCTAGATTATGGTTAAAGAAAAAAGAAAAACCTTGAATGACTGTAACATGAAGCCAGAAACTATTCATAGCTGTTGACTACACATAAACACCACCTTTAACATTACGCCAATATGGAACATGTTTTTTTTTAAAAAAGGAAAAACTTGAAGTCAGAAATCATAGACAGAATAGCATTAAATGCCATCACTTTCTTACTTCAGTGTACTTTCCAATCAGTGGGGTGGCCAACCTTTTTTCTTCTCTGCTATACATTGGAAGAAGGGTTGTTTGGGGCCACACATTAAATACACACACACTAAGGAAAGCTGATGAGTCCATGCATAATTTTTGCGATATCTGTCACCACAGATAAGCAAAAAAGTCCTCACAAAATCCGCATGTGGCCCACAGGTTACAAGTTGGACACCCCTGAATGGAATTCATAGTGTGCCAAAAGAAGGTTATTTTGTTTTCTCTCTTTCTCTGGAAGAGGCCTCCAAAATAAGGAAAGGTTATCTGCTCTACCCCCACAAGGAAAGGAACCCCGGGTGTCTCCTAATACATAGAACACCAGGTCTTGAATTTTGTTATGGGTTTAACCTGGGCGTGGTTGATTATACCAGAACATAGTGGGCAACTAGGGCTGTCCTCTTCAGGTTGGCTGGTGGCCTGAGAAGTAACAGGCAGTAGTCTCTTTCTATCAGGAACACTTCAGATTGGAGAGAGGCTGGCTGAATGTGTCAGATGCAGTTCTCTGAGCAGGTGATTGGGAGATACATACACAAAGACATACCAGCAGAGCGGGCAGAACAGAACAATATATAGAACTAAGGCAGTGAGCAGATGAGAGGCAGTCAGAAGCCAGGAGAGAGTCGGGGAGAGCAGTTAAGAGGACTAGAAAGAAAATCATTACAGGCCCCAGAGGACAAGCTGAACCGCGGGAGCAGGGGAACAGGTGTCATCTGCTCCTAAGGACCTGACCATCAGTCGTGCTACTGAATCTTCAGGTGTTGTCCTACTATAGGGACTACTATACTTTGAACGATACTTCAGTTCAATAAGGATATGTTATGCCTGAACATAAACTCTTAAAAATTCTTAAAATCAACTCATATTAATTGACATAACTAGAACACATCTCTTTTCCTTGAAACCTGAAAAAACCTAGCAAACTAGAAACCTCCAACCTGGGTCTGCTAGAAGGCTTTTGAAAAGCAATAGTACTTCTTCAGGAATAGCTTCAGAGGAGGGAGAGAGAGAAAGGCAAAAAGTAGTAAAATGGTTTGCCAAATAAAACAAACTTGAAAGCCTAACTTAAATCTCTAAAAATCTCAGTATAATAAAAGAGGCAAAATTTCTACTTCTCACTGCCTAAAGGGTAGCATAATTGGAATTCCAGAGATTCACATGCCATTAGCTTCCACTTTTTTTGTGCCATCAGAATTCAGTAATAGACTACAGACATTTCTATGTGAATACTGAAATGAGACGTCCTCTTGAAAGCAAATAAGAGCAGACCCATCTTAAGTTCTGAATTTACACAAGGAAAACATGGATGCCCTAATTTGCCTAAAATTACAACAGTCACTAAATTAAAAAATAATAATAATAAAAGAACATGGCTCTGAGGGCAGCTCCTGTGGCTCCCTCCCCATATGCCGGAGGTGGCACGTTCAAACCCAGCCCTGGTCAAAAAAAAAAAAAAAAAAAAGAACACGGTTCCAAAAGCCAAAACAAATCCTGCAACCCAGATGCTTACCTGGAGGTCAATGTTAAATTACGCCAATATGTGAAGAAAAACATCAATCTATGAGAACTGATCATTTCACCTTGTTTCAAATATAGGAAGAAATCATTTTTTTAGCCTAGCAATATGAATATTCCTAAGAAGACTCATACAGTAGATCAGTTCATGATCACATTAATGGTTAATATAGGAAGAAGATTCAATCTATTCTAGATCTGTAGAAGGAAACTTTGGTTAAAGCTTATATATCATATATAAACTAATGAAAAAAATTAAATTTCTCTCAAAGCCAATCGAGTAAATCACTATGTTCAAAAACTGATGACTAAGTAGTTAATTTTCCTGGTTCAGAATTGACTGAAAACTACCAGGGGGAACTCTTCTTCCCTACCTGCCAATGTTTCCTTCCATGCAGAGGGAGCTCCAATAATTGAACACTTCTCATCTCCACCCATTCATTTTCTCTCCCATAAGAGGACAAGTGGCATAAAGTGATTGGTAAGCTTAGAGAGAGAAACTGGCATGTGGAGACCAGAACCTTCCTCTTTTGAGCAGTAGTTACTGCAAAAAACAAGCATCTGTTTTGTTTTTCCAGGTTTTATGTTTTAGAGGGGCATGGTCTCACGAAAGGAAGCCTGCAGTCCGGTGCTGCCAGGGACTGGAGGAATAAATCTAGCTAATTCCAAAGTTCAGAATTCGAAAGCTCATTTACCCACTAATTCCCTAAAATCAGTTTTATCAGTAAATAAGGTAATATTCTGATCTTCCATCTGTTTTACCAATGTCTTATTTCTCAACTGATTCAGAACTCAGTGGGGGAGGGGAAGAAGAAATTATATTCTGAAAATTAAGAAATGGCAGTACACCACTGGATTTGAAATGGAAGAGGAAAAGTAGAGTAAAACCTGAAAGTGAGTGTTAAGAAAAATCTACTGTGCCTGTGTTGCACACAGCAATAAAATTACCCAAGAAGGAAAACGGTGCAGGGGAGGAGTTGGAGGTTTGCTACATGCTGCTTTCTTCGCCGACTCACAGATTTCCTGGTCATCTGAACATGGAGATTCCAGGGAGTCATAAGAAAATAATCCATCATCACAACTCGTGTCCATGTTCTCTAAAATTTCTGTACTGTCACCATCCACTAGATCAAGGTCGGTTTCCTGAGGTCTCAGCGGTCGTATCATGCTTATCGCATTTCTGTTTGTACCAAACATCCTGTCGGAACTTAACTGTGGCTGGCTTAGGTGCCTTTTGGCTAGTGCTACACTTATACTGAAAACATTAGGAATCCTTAACTTTGGGGGCGGCAAGTTCGATGAAGGCACTAATTGTGTTCCTTTTCCAGGGAGTGAGTTAGGATGTTTTGGAGTTAAAGCTGGGGTCAAAATAGGGCTGGGGGTGTTGGCCTCACTTGACGAAGATGAATAATCCAGTCTCTGAGACTGAAATTTTTTATTCAGTTCATCGGAGAAACTATCTTGCTCCTTTTTACTTGATTCAGAATTTCCCTTTCCAAGAGAACTGTTCTGAGCTTTCCATTGTGCCTCCTGTTGCCAAGAATATAGTTTCTTGTGTTCTGGTCTCTTTATGCTAAATGTCTCTTCTTCGAATATGGAACTGCTGTCATCAGATGCAGTCAGATACGTCTCGCTCCCCATCCTGCTGCACTGGACTCCTTCCTCTGATGTGTGGCTGGAAAGGGTAGACGTGCACCTGGACTTGGGTCTTCCTTTGCTCCCATCTTCCTCATCAGAACTCCAGTCACTCACTGGAGCCCCAGAATTCTGGGATATGCCACCATCTGTTCCAAAGCTTGTTCTTGTTTTCCGATTCTGTTCTGAGCCACAGGGAGTTTGATGCAATGTTCTCTGGCCTCTGTTGTTTTCTAGAACTTGGTTATCAACAGACTTTTCTGGAATTTCCATTTCTAGAAAAAGATAGATTACATCAGTATGTGGTCTTTAATAACCTTTCTGTGCATTTAGCTACACTGTTGAAACTAGCAATTTCATATTAATAAAGATCATTTAGGCTCTGCACCCATAGCTCAGTGGTTAGCGTGCCAGCCACATACACTGGGGCTGGCGGGTTCAAACCTGGCCTGGGCCTGCTAAACTACAATAACAACTATAACAACTTGCTTCAACCCAAGAGTTTGAGGGAGCTGTGAGCTATGACACCACGGCACTCTACCCAGGGCGACATAGTAAGACTCTGTCTCAAAAAAATAAATAAATAAATATGAACATCATTAATTCTATTTTAGAAGCAAAGAAAATGACAAGCTTCTTTCAACAAAATTTCTTTCCTTTTTTTTTTTTTTTGAGACAGAGTCTCACTTTGTCACCCTGGGTAAAGTATTGTGGTGTCATAGTTCACAGCAACTTTAAACTCTTGGGATCAAGTGATTCTCTTGCCTCAGTCTCCCAAGTAGTTGGGACTATAGGGGCCCACCACAACACCCAGATATTTTTAGAGACGGGGTCTTGTTCTTGTTCAGGCTGGTCTGGAACCACTTTGTCCTCCAAGAGTGTCAGGATTACAGGCATGAGCCACCGTGCCCAGCCTTCAACAAAATTTTAAAACTATCATAAAGTAAATTTAAGCATTATTAATACAAAGCTATAGTTTAAGAAACAAACTTTGCACCCAAGCTTTAATACATGAAATATGCAAAATCATGAAGAGAGAATAAACAGAGAAAAGCTTTCCTTATTCTACTTTTGGTTTAATTGTAACTACAAAGTATGTTTTTTATAATAACACTCTTTAAAAATATTTTTAGGACAGGGAGCAATGGCTCACACCTGTAATGCTGATACTCTGGGAAGCCAAAGTGGGAGGATCCCTTGAACTCGGGAGTTGGGAACCAATCTGAGCAAGAAAGAGACTTTGCCCCCTATTAAAATTAGAAAAATTAGCCAGGCATTATAGTATGTGCCTGTAGTCTCAACAACTTGGGGGGCTGAGGTAGGAGGATTGCTTGAGCCCAGAAGTTTGAGTTTGCTGTAAGCTAGGCTGACACAATTGCATTCTAGCCTGGCCAACAGAGTGAGATTCTGTGTCACAGAAAAAAGAAGTCTTTAGGCATGGCTTATTTTTATTTATTTTTTTATTTTTGCTTATTTTTATTTGTAATAGAATAACAGTTTCATAAATGATTTCAAAACTTTAAGGAGCAAAAAAGAAACTTGGAAAACATTGACACCATACACAGGTACTTCATAATTAAGAAACCAGAGGCTGAACAAATAAACTCTAGAATTTGCAGTCAGGCAGTTTGTTAAATTTGCAAGTGAGCAAGGACTTTAAATACAAGCAACCTCAGCTGGACTCAATTGACTGTTGGAAAGGGGGAAGGAAATTAAAATGGCTTCTCAAAAAAGAAAAGCAAATGCAAATAACGGCATGAAAGCAAGAAGCAAAGGAGCCTTCTGATTGGAAAAAGATTACATGGTTTCTAGAATTTCATAACCAAGCATAGAGGCTAGACATAGCTTTTTAGGGTTATAATTTTTCTCCTTTGGAGGAAGGCAAAGAAACTGAAAATGGAGAAGCAGCCAGCCTTTCTATACTATTTGGGGAAAGTCAACAAAAGAGATTCACTAGAGATGGCAAAGCCAAAAGATGTACAATAAAAACAAGATTTAGAAGGGCTTTAAGACTTAAAGAAAAGGAGTAGAAATCTGTACACAGGACCAGGGTTCAAATGCCTAGGTAAACATTTTCCCTGTAGCACAAAAAAGGGAAAATCAAAGCAACTACTCAAGTATCCTGTAGGGTTTTCTTTATAAGTCTGCTATGCCATTTTTAATTTCCTGTTTAATATTAGGTAATTTTTTATATTTTAAATCAATAATGAATAGGAAATTCATAGTTGTAATCTGAAACCCAACTAATCCAAGTATAGTATCTTGTAGATAGAAATGTAAACGTTTAACTTTATCTAAGATTAACTTTAATTTATTTAAGAGACGGGGTCTTGCCATGTTGCTCAGGCTGGCCTCAAACTCCTGGGTTCAAGCGATCCTCCTGAGTCAGCCCCATGAGTAGCTGGAACTACACATATGGGCTGCTGCACCTTGCTTTTTAATTTTAAGTATTGCTTCCACCTATAGGAAAAAGCATTAACTAGGGAAAATTGGATAGATGTGGTCACTCACACCTGTATCCCAGAATCTTGGGAGGCCAAAGTGTGAGGATTGCTTGAGGCCAGGAGTTTGAGACCAGCCTGGGCAACATAATGAGAGCCCATCTCTGCAAAAGATAGAAAAATTAGCTGGGTGTGGTGGTGGGTGCCTGTAGTCCCAGCTACTTGGGAGGCTAAGGTAGGAGGATTACTCCAGCCCAGGAGTTTAAGGTTGCAGTGAGCTATGATGGTGCCACTGCACTAGCTTGGGTGACAGAGTGAAACCTTATCTCTCCAAAATAAATAAATAAACCAAATAATTAAATAAAAAATTCTTTTTGAGGCAAGGTCTCACTCTGTCACCAGGGCTAGAGTGCAGTGATGTCATTATAGCTCACTGTGACTTCAAATTCCTGGCCTCCAGTGCCACCACACTGGACTAATTTTTCTATTTTTTGTTGAGAGGAAGGTTATCACTGTGTTGCTCAGGCTGGTCTCAGATTCCTGGCTCAACTGATCCTCCCACCTAAGCCTCCCAAAGTCCTAGGATTATAGCCATGAACCACTGTGCTTAGCCTGAAATTTTTAAATAAATAAATATGAAGGGAAAATTAGTTTCTTCTATACATTACTGGCGCAGATTCTCAGAAAACACAAAATAATTAGATATACTAAGTTAAATGCTGTATTGATCTTTATAAATACCCCCATAAAACACCGAGTAGTCAGGAAAAAAATAAGCTATATTTGCATTAATTTTAGCAAATGATTTGTCTTTTTGGAAAAAATGGCAAAGTGAACTCCTATAATCCATAAATACCGTCTATGTCTTTTCCTTCAGTGAACTCAGCTTTTTTAGTTGAAATCTTGCTCATTTCCTCAGCTTTCACAACCTGCGGAGGACTCTTTGCTCGAGATAAAAAACATCCAAAGGTTAAACTGCTCAGGCGCTGGCCCTCTGAAAGCTTTAGTGTAGAGACAATGGATGTCTTCTTTCCTTGAACTTCTGCAACGTCAATAATCAAAATTAAGATTTGAATTTTTTATAGCAGTTTGTTAAACACAGAACCAAAGCATATTGATAAGTTGGACAAATCACTCTACACCAGAAAAAATCTGAAGTTCATCTTTATTTACATATAATAACACAGAACCTTCAACGATGAGCATCATATGCCTATATTTAAAATCTGGGATGGCCCAGTGGCTCATGCCTGTCATCTCAGCACTTTTTGGAAGGCCAGGGCAAGCAGATCCCTTGAGGCCAGGACTTCGAGACCAGCATGGGCAACCTATCGAGACACCACCTCTATAAAAAATTTAAAAATTAGGGGCAGCACCTGTGGCTCAAAGGAGTAGAGTGCCGGCCCCATATGCCAGAGGTGGTGGGTTCAAACCAGGCCCCGGCCAAAAAAAAAAACCCTAAAAAATTAGTTGGACATAGTGGTCCCAGCTACTCAGGAGGCTGAGGCAGGAAGATCTCTTGAGCCTAGAAGTTAAGGGTTTCAGTGAGCTATGAGTGCACTTTGTCCAGCTTAAGTGACAAAGTGAGACCCTGTCTCAAAAATTAATAACAAATAAAAATAAATAAAATCTACTTTATATACTTTGAATGTTCAAAATATTTTTTTAACTGCAGAGAGAAACATACCTAATCCCTTTAAGAGTAGTTAGTTCAAAACCAAAACAAAGAAAAAACAGATTACAAATAACTAAAGAATTATAGCTTCTTACAAAGTCAAGGATTGATAAATACCAGTTAGGCATTGGTAAAATAGGTGTGATCTGGCACTAACTGTGAGGAAAAAGGGACTTAAGTCCTGGTCGTTAAAACAACCAAAGGAAATATGGACCATCATTGGGGCAAATAGCACATTATCATGGTAATGATTTTTTCTTATCTCAGTTACCAGTAATGAGAAGAAAATAGATGGAGTGGCTTGGTCTGTGGTGACCATAATATAAAGAGCCTTAGTCATTTCTTTAGAAGAACTAAAAGGGGGTGGGGGTGGGGAAAGAATTTAGATAGCTAGTGGAATGATTATTAGGTCAGCACCTAATCACGGGTTTAAATTCATCTGTAGGACTTTGGACATTGCTGCTTATATGATCTAAAGGCATGGCGATCCCCAAAACAAAAATGTCTGAGGAAATTCAATTTTTAACTCTAGGAAAACACCAAAAGGTTAACTTACATAGCAACAGATAAATGAGTTGAGTACATAGTATGTTCCTTTAACTGTATCTTTTAGTATTTTTATGTTGATCATCTCTCACAGTAATACTAGAATAACTACATTTATGAATATATTTGTAAGTAATCTAGTACATGTGCTAGATTATATCTGTTCTTCTAAATCCAAGCTTAGTTTCTAAGGATTGATACTTCTCAGTCTGTAAGAACTAAGAGGCTGCCAGTGAAGACTAGAAATGCAAGCGAAGAATATCAGAGAAAACAACAAGTTTTTGAGAATGGGCTTAGTACATCTAATCTAGTTCAACAAGGGCAAATGTCACATGGACTTGAAACTTTAATTCATGTTCACATCTTCCTGGACATCTGAAGTACATACCTCTCTAATATAAAAACTTTTAACCTACTATATGGTGTGGTAAGGTGGCCTCAAAGTCACACGTGCCCCTCCAGATCCCCAAGTACAGCCCCTCAAATGAATCCAAACTTTTATTTATTCATTTATTTTGCAGTTTGGGGCCAGGGCTGGGTTTGAACCCGCCACCTCCAGTATATGGGGCTGGCGCCCTACTCCTTTGAGCCACAGGCACCGCCCTGAATCTAAACTTTTATTAAAGGGATTTATTCTAAAAAATGTGAATTCGATCAGAAGGCCCCAAGGCCACAGGTTCCCCACCCCTGATTGGAACCCACTGCCCATGGTCCCTGACTTCTTGGTTTAATGTCAACATACAGTACTTCTAGCAAGTACTAAGTCCCAGGACTTAGGATGGGTCTAAAAAGGAGACAGATGGAAGGCCTTTAAGACTAGGGAAAGGCAAAGTTAGTATCTGCTCATGCTTTTCTAACCTATGTAGTGATCACCTTGGAACTCCTGTACATCATCAATCCTATCTTTTTTTGCCTTTCATTTTCAGGCCCAACATTCACTGGGGTGCAGAAGTTCTGGTTTAAGAAATTCTATTTCACTTCATGACACTAACTTCTTGTATGATGTTTATAATTGCGTCTTTGAAACACCAACCCCCCCCATGCCCCGGAAGAGTAAAATCTTAAATAGCCAAATAAATCTAGGCAAGTTATCTCGAAGTATTTGTACCTTGTAGTTTTGACTGTATTGTTCTTATCTCTTCAATTTGGTTTTGGTTGATCAAACGAAGATTCTGATTCTCCAATTCCAGCTAAAAGAATAAAGTGGTATTCTTTTCTATAGAGATAACATTTTCAGAATGTTCTAATTATAAGATTTAGAAAATGTTAATACCTAGTTACTCTCTATGTAAGCAAAATACAAAAGAAGTGATAAGCAAATACATATATCAAGTTACATTTCAGCACCAGCTATCAAACTAGGTAAGTATGGCATTAATATTTATTTTTCCCAAAACTAAGAGTTTTGAACGTTTTGACCCCCATGCTTTTGCCTACAAAATTATTTTAAACCAAAATATTTCAGCATTAACTGTCATATAAAATAATGAATGTATGCTTCTCAGACACTAAATACATTTTATTTCTTAAGATATTCACCTTTGTTCTCTAATTATTTAAAACTAATTAGAACTAAAGTTAACTAGTCAGAATGAGGTTATTAATGCTGATAATCATGAGTCTACTGATATGTTTCATTTTAGAAATACACTAGATATTAAATGAAAGCTACCTATCCCAATTTTACCAAGAGACACAACACCACCACCAACCAATCATAATTTTTTGCTTCCTTCAATTTTTTTTTTTTTTAAGACTAGACAAAGTAAGAAGGGGGGAAAGAGTAGAATAAAGAGTTCAATCTGTAACTGACTGTGATCAATCAAGTAAGATAACTCCCTACCTTTGGACCAGCCAGAATAGTCATATATTCTGATGACTCTATTTAGAAGAAGTAAAAGGTGGAGAAAAGGAAAATAATATAGCAGCAAATACCTCGTTTAACTTAACTGTTACCCATTCTTTGATCTTAGCTGCTTTCTCTTCTATTATTTTAGCTTCTTGTATCCTTATTTGTTTCTGAAATAACATTAGCAGTTTGTTTAGTTCAAACACAAACTCAGTGATCTAGAAAAGTTACATTATAAATATACAAGGCAAATCTCTTGTTTCCAAGTTAATACATCTCTCCTCCAATTACCAAATCGAATTTTAAAAAAGAAAAAGATTATCCAGCAGATGCAATAGTAAACCATTGCAAGTACGGAAAGTTTTAACTGCTATTTTCTTTCTCTGAAAGATTATACACAAAAAGTCAATCCACTGAATCTATCAACAAAATAAACCATCTCTGGAAATGGATTTAGAATAGTATCACAGGGGTCAACCAAGTTAGAGAGAGGAGAATAAGAATCTCCTTAGGGACTTTTCCTTTCCTCAAGTGCTAGTTTTCAAGGATCCAGAAAAAATAATCATTTAGAAACTATAGCTCACATTTACCAATCTTGAAATCTGGCTATGGTAACAAAACTACTGAGAATGTGACTATCATATAAATCACAATGGGTGGGGCCTGGAGGTAGCAGGAGGCTGAAAACCACTGACCTAAAGAAACATTGATCCCCAAGAAATAGAAAAGCAAGGCTGAAAATAAACAACAATGGAACATATTTAACAATACAATTTCCTGGTGGTCATATTTAAATGACCATTTAAGTAAATAATTCCAATACAATTTTTTTCCTAAAGATTTTTAAATAAACTAAATACTACACTTGTTTCAATAAAGTGGTTCAGAAACAGTATTCCCATTCCTAAGAAAGACTGGTGTCAAACGTATATATTTAACAATATGTAGCTGCCAACAGCCAAATGTTTCCAACTTAAACATTATACCTGACATTGTGGATTTTAAGGAGCACTGTCATACCAGAAATGTGTTAATTCTCACATTCTCAACTTGGAATTACCCCCAACTTTAAGGCAATGTCAATTTGCTCGCAGCTTTCACCAATAAATGTGATGCAATCTTTGGGTTGACAGAGTAAGATTTCTCCCCCAAATTTAGACATTTAGGCTTTCTATTTTTAATTTTTATACATGAATTGGTATACTCATTTAGAACTTGCTGAATGACCAAATTCTTTCTAACCTGCTCTTCAAGCTGCAGCTCCAAGTTTTGAATGATGTCATCTTTTTCTTGTATTAGAGATTCCAGATCTTGACACTTTTTGTATAACCTTGTCTCTGACTCACTGGTTTGAATATTGGCTGCTTTTAATTTTTCTTCCATAACTTGTACCTAAATTTAGAGTATAAAATATTAAAATTGTACATGTATTTAATTTATCATAGTTTAAATGTAGAATTTTACTGTAACACCATATAGGTTCCTGAAGGTTATCATAAAAGGAAAATACTAAAAAGCAAAAGGTTGAATGTTTATAAAGGTTATAACTTAATTATAAAGGTTATAATTTAATAATGATAAAGTCTGAAGAATATTTTGCCATGAGGTGTTACCTCTGAAGTACATAAGGGTACACACATAAGAGACACTCAGAATATTGCTGTCAGAGAAACTAATAACATCGTTGTTTACTAGATCCACACAAATATGCTAAGTGTTCATAAAAGTATAGAAACAGAAAGTTTCCAGCACTCATTTTCTCTTACTTTTTTAAACAAAGTAGGAATATTAAAGAAGGTGAATGGTAAGGTAAGACTCAGACTGGATAACTTGGTAAAACAACATATTTAGGGGGGAAAAAAATGAACTAGGATGGAAAAGAAACCTCTACACAGTGGAGAGGAGAAAAAAAGAACCTTAAACCTTAAATGATGTAGTCAAAAAAAAAAAAAAAAGAGTCTAGATATACATGAAGAGTACATTCTGTGAGGGCTTGCCAATTCATTTGACAAATATTCACTCAATACCTGCCAAATGCCAGGCCTATTCCAGGCCCTGTGAAGGCATCGGTAAATAAAACAGACCCCAAAATCTCTGCCTGCATAGTAGTTACATTCTAATGGGCAAGAGAGATCACAAATATAATAAATGTGTAAAAATCAGTACAGTATCTTACCCAAGTGATAAGCGTGAGGAGGAAAAAAGAACATGGTAAGAGAGATCAGGTGTGTAGGCAGAGGTTGAGTGATGCCTCAGTTTTAATATCTGAGATAGACAGGCTCTACTTGGATCCTCTGCAAAACTCATTTGGGCAAAGGAAATCTTAGAAGGCCATATCAACATATTGTGTTGCTGACCTACATAGATTATACAAGTCTATTCAACTCATAGTAAAGTTTAGATTTTACTATTATCACCTTTAGGTCTCACTTTTCTCACCTTTCTATGAATCACAAAGCTGGTCCTTGATTATAGATGGTCTAGTGCAGGTGTCCTCAAACTACAGCCCACGGGCCACATGCAGTCCGCCTAGGACATTTATCCGGCCCACCGGGTGTTTTTGCCACCGCTGCCTGTCCTGCTTAGCAGACGACTTGTCCCAGGGCCCGCAATCTGGCCCTCCAATGGTCTGAGGGACAGTGAACTGGCCCCTTGTTTAAAAAGTTTGAGGACCCCTGGAAGTGGATTGGATGCCTCACCAGAGACTTTACAAGGAGGTCCAAATAAGGTATATGGGAGATGTTAATAGTAAGAAAGAAAATAAAGTATTGGGGGATGTATACGATATTGAAACTTTCATTCTATATAGTAATAATATAGAATATATATAGAATATAATTTCAGTAATATTGAGATTATGGGGCAAAGAAGAAAATAATATGAAAGTATTGAGAAATTAAAGATAATAGTTAAGATGAAAAATCTTAAGCTTTAAAAATACCTCTGAAAATTCACAATAAATCCTTAAAGTTCAAAAATATTTGACTAATGAGAGTTTTTGGCAGGAATGTGGAAAGGTTAGTTTGGTCTTATTTTTTTAACCATGAATACCAAGTTTCATGTCTGCGTTGACTGCATAAATGTAAATTCAACTCAGATGCCAAAATTTCCAACCAAATGGCTAGAAACTATGAAAATAAAAACAGAAGAGGCTCAGCGCCTATAGCTCAACCAGCTAAGGCGCCAGCCACATACACCTAAGGTGGCGGTTTCGAATCCCCAGCCCGGACCCGCCAAACAACAATGACGGCTGCAACCAAAAAATAGCCAGGAGTTGTGGCAGGCGCCTGTGGTCCCAGCTACTTGGGAGGCGGAGGCAGGAGACTCACTTGAGCCCAGGAGTTGGAGGTTGCTGTGAGCTGTAATGCCACGACACTCTACCCAGGGGGACAGCTTGAGGCTCTATCTCAAAAAAAAAAAAAAAAAAAAAAAAAAAAAACAGAAGAAAGGGCAGCGCCTGTGGCTCAAAGGAGTAGAGCACCGGCCCCATATGCCAGAGGTGGTGGGTTCAAACCTAGCCCTGGCCAAAAAAAAAAACAACAGAAGAAAAAGAATATTCCATTATCTAAATGATCATTTAATTTTGATTCTTTGACATACTATGGCAGGCTTTCTGCATGAGCTGTGGGACAAAGGTCTGCATCAGAGACACTGTCATGCAAAACAGCCAGAGCAAGACAGAGAGAGAATTGGACAGTCATTGTGAAATGGTACAGCCAGTTGCACACAGGGCCTTCTGTAGCTGAGGAAGCAGAAAGAGGAGAGCAGAGGCCAAGTCCAAAACGGCAGTTCACTCTGAGGACACAGTAATAGAAGGTAAACCTCAAGAAAACCAAAAGTAACTGAATAAGAATAGAAATAAATATATCTATAATCTCCTTTTATTAAATTGAAGGAAGCCACCCTATTGGACCAGTGACTTTTCAACCAGTGTGCCCTAGAGGATCTTAGGTGTGCCCTGAAAATGTTTAAAGCTCATTAATTAAATTATTTTCCAAAGACGTTCAAAGCACAGTCAGGATATTCTCTTTTTACTCTTTTGTTTTGGTCAATGTAATTGAAGTGTGCCACGGAAGTTTAACTATAGGTTCAAGTGTGCCATAAAAAAAGTTGAAAAACACTACTATAGACATTGGATTGTGACATAAAGTCATCCCATTATTACTCAGGAGGGGTCTATAGTTCTGGAAAATTATGATTTAGAACCATTCTCCTACCTTGAAAAATGTTCATCTTGTGAATGAATGCTACAGAGCTCCTCAGATGCATCTCTGCCATCTGAAACTTTTTAATTCCACCACTTTTATTTTTTTTCTTTTCATATAATATATATTTATTAGTTTGTACTAGCACATTCTCAGATTACAAAGGCAATTTAGTGAAGGAATGAATATTCCTTTTGATAATTTGAGTCATCTGAAATAACACAAACAATACGTTCCAAAAAATAATCCTCATTTGAATAACAAAAAAAAAAAAGACAAGTTAAAGGACAAAAATTACCTTTTCCTTTCTTACAGGTAAACACTGAAGTGGACCTAATTTGACTTTCATTTTAAAATCTTCCCAAAACAAAGGCAATTTAAAACCTAATATAAAAGAATAAAGAAATTGTTTACTAAACTGCTAGTCTCCAGCACCATTCTCTAGCCGCTGTTAGTTGTTTTGGTGCCAGTTCTTTGTCTGTTTTCTTCCCTTGCTCTTTTAACAGGTTGCACTGTTTTCATCACACTCATCATCACTGTCAAATTTAGTTTTCTTGCCCTGAGACTGTACTTCCCCTTTAGCAGACCCAGACTGAGCAGCTTTATTGCCCTTTCCTTTTCCTTTAAATCTGTGACCTTTTGGACTTCCAATTGTTTAGAGATTCTTCTATGATTTTTTCAATGCTGCTTTTCCCGCCATTCTTTCTAGTACTTCCCAAGTCACTTCTTTGTTCCTTAATTGTATACAGGTTACCATTATTTGCATCTTTAGCTTTACCCAATGCTTTCTTGGCTTTTTCCTTGAACACAATAATCCCCCTGCTGCGCCTCTGACAAAGTCTATCCATTTTTATTTCACCATGACTTGAGAAAAGGACGTGCAGATCTACAAGTCTAATCATCTAAGTCACCCAAAATTTCAGCACATGTCCATTCTTTTCTTCCAGAGATTTTGTTTCAGCATCTTCTTTTATATTTTTCCTTGCTCTTATTTAGCCCTGAATTTAGCTTACACTTGTTTTCTTTGATTTTTTTTTTAAACAAAGTAATCCCCCTTGAAAAATAATAGCAGGACTGTGTCTTTGTACTTCTGGCCAGGGGTCTCTACAAACTTCATAGCAGATTCTATTCTATCAAACACAGCAAATACTGATCCCTTAAATGCTTTGTGCAATGTTCTTCTCATCTGAATATTTAGTACTTGACCTTTATCTTCTAACCATTCTTCTATGTCATCAAGGGGACACCTTTAATATAGACAGAAATGATTTTTACATCATTGTTATGCTCATCAATCACTTCAGGGAGGGTTTTGCTTGGAGATCCTCTGATTTTAATTTTATCTGCACTGATTTCCATGGGTTCTACCTTGGATTTGCTTGGTGCTTCTACAATTACATTAAAGTCTGTTGCAAGATGGTTTAACTCAATTCAGTGACAGATTTCAGCCCCCAGAGCAGCCATTTTTTCATTATCACCATTTGCAGCCATTGTGGCTACCTTTAAGTTCCTGGTCCCATAGAGCCACGCCACAGATTCACTAGCAGCCATGCCTGGACTTTCTAGCCCGCCACACTTTTAGATAAACAACTTTCCTAGGCAAGAAAAATATTAGCAAAAGTGGCTGAATCTCTTAGGGAAAGAGAGCCCAAAGTAGTTATAGGCAACCTACTTACCAACAGGTTAAGACTAGGTCCCATAGGATTCACCCACCTTCCTTGGTGATTGGTATGAATAAAAGGTCTACAGAGAAGCTAAGAGGCCCACAGAAAAATCAAGTAGCCTTTTAAAATGTCTTACAACAAGCACACAGAAATAACCCAGGCCTTTTTCCATTCATTTAGGAGAGCCACATAAGAATTTTAACTAGTCAAAGACTGACCAGCAATAAACACCTGTGAATTCAAATTGATTGATAAGCTTTCATGATTATCTATACATAGAAATCCTCTGGTGTGGAAGGCCTTGTGTTTTTAGGCTATTTTTCTCCTTTACTTCTAGGAGATGCAACCTCTAGCTGCATCTACCCGCCTCAGCACACACTCTTCAGCTATTTCCCCAAAACCTTCTTGATCCTGAAGTCCTGACTTGGGATGCTCAGATCCTATACATTCCAAAGAAACAACTGGGTCTTGACTGGCTCTTTGGAGACAACCTCTGAGCCTTTGAAATATGATGACTGATAAG